ATAATATTTTCTCGGTAACAATGTATTTGGTTTATAAGAATAAAGATCATTCATTCATTCATATACATAATAAACAAAAAATGAAATGGGGGTAAAGATGTAGGTAAAATAATATTTATTCAATTTTTATACCTTTTTTTTTTTCTTTTAAGAAAACAATGTATGACTGCTGATATATAAAACAAAGGATTTTTTTTTCGGAAAAAAACACAATACATGTACATTTATCAATAAAAAGTAAGCATCTTATGTTGAATGGTCTGAATTCAAATATTTATACAGTGAGTTTTATAATTATAAAAAAAAATCAAATTTCAAAAAGCGGATTTACATAACATTGTGTGCTTTTTAAAATCAAGAAATTTAAGGTATGTAAGTATATATAAGTATTAAATTTTACCTGAAGCATAACTCAATGTTTGAACAATTTATCCTTTTTGTGCTCACAAAACTATGTCCGTACTATTTCATTATATCCATTATATTGAAATGATCATTATCTATGTTATATTAGAATATAGCAAAGAGCTCTCGACCAATGAAATTGTTGGATTTTATGTCTATTAATTGTGAAGAATGAATGTAAATCATGTTCTTAGTATGGGATTATCCTATTATTTGGGTATATTTACAGTTCAAAACAAAGAGTTTCTATGAATGAGTTATAACTGCCCCGAAGCACATTTATCAGATTGAAAGGATTTATCACAGTGATTGAAACTGACTAAAAGTTGAATTGTGAAACATACAAAAAAATCAAAATAAGTTTACTGGTGCAGTAAAATTTGTACATTAATGTTATTATGAGAATATTAATAACTTCAAATTATTAAAAAATCAAACAATATAAAAGCAATGCAAATAAAAAAAAAAAAAAAATTTCATAAATCTTTAGCTTTCCAAAACTCTGATTACTGAACCAGCAGTTGGAAAGAATAGTTATTTCCAATATTCAGATAAAATTAAATAATAAAAAAACAACAGGAATTTGATTTAAGTTTTGAATATATTTAAAACTTTTAAAGGCATTTTATTTGAACATTTCCCTGACATAATCATGATAATGAAATAGTATTTGATTAAAAAGCCGGGCCAAAATATTGTTACTCAAATGTATTTATTGATTTAAACTGTAAATACAAAAAGGATAATTCCTCACTAAAATATTACATGATTTACATTCATACTCTCAATCAAGAAACATATACAATTCCTACCATCTCTTTGTACTTTTTTGTGTGACTTGTGTCACCTAATGTCTATAATGCATTTTTTAATATTTCCAAAAACATAAGAAAGTCCTTACACCACTACAACTAATCCATATTTGAAATGCCGAAAAATGAAGTCATGCATCAATTATAAACATTACACTGACAATGAAACTAATTCTTGAATACATCCAATCAAGAGATCATTTGAGCCTTGAGCACTTTACAATATTCTAAGTTTGCAAGAGAATGATAATCCCTTACTTCATGATGAGTACTCGCTAACGCTCGTACTTAATCAAGAAGAAAGGGATTATCATTCTCTTACATATACAATTCCTTTTATTAACCTAGTTAACACTTCATTATAAAAAGTGAATTCTTATTAAGGTTTGGATATTACAATGGGAAAGGATAATTTTGTAAGGTCACTCGAAATTGTGAATAAATTGGTCAGACAAAACTTGGTCATGTTTTATGAACTTTTAAAACCATCGGCTACGCCTTTGGCTTTAAATCTTCATAAAACATGACCAAGTATTGTTTAACCTATACATAAAAGAACATATGATACATATCGGTACAACGAACACACAGGGTTTGTACCTTTATATATACATAATAGACAATCGTATAGTATAAGTTGGTAGCCGCGAGGATAAGATCAATGAGTAATAGAGTCAAGTTGAAAGTAGAGATTTGTCGGTTTAGGTTCGAATCTTTGTTTTCTCTTTGTTGTCCCTATTATTTTTTTTCTTCAGTTTTTTCTTATTGTGTATGTTATTGTGGATTTTTTTTTGTAATAATAGCGTGCTTTCCTGTTTATTTTTTGGATTATTATTGGTTATTTCAGGGATTTTTTTCAAGAATCAACGCTTATCCATTGTATCTATAATACATATGACATACATTTAATCTAACATATGTGGCATATGTTTGATATTACGTATGTGACATACATTCCATCGTTAATACATTTGATTTACATATGTGACATACATTGTATTGTTCATTTGTGACATATATTTGATCTTATATATGTAAGAATTTCTCATCAAAGATACCAGGCTTATAGTTTGTATGCCATACTCGCGTTTCATCTACCAAAGTCTCATCGATGACGTTCGAATCAAAAAGTTAAAACACCAAATAAAGAACGAAGTTGAAGAGCATCGAGGACCAAATATTCCGAAAAGTTTTGCCAAAAACAGCTTAAGTAATCTCTTCCTCATCTCGTGGGGAAGCAAATCCCTAGTATTTCGAAAGTGTAACATATTTTTTATCTTAGATACGTGATATATTTGTATCGTGTATATGTGATATACATTCTATCGTATATATGTGACAAACATTTGATCTTACATATGTGACATACATTGTGCATTCATTCATTTGAAATTGTAAGTGTGGTTTTTTTTATAAACTTTCTGTTTAACGATATTTTCAAAGAATGAGTAATTACATGTTCATTAAACATATGATTTCTATCTACATAGATATAAGTTTTTACAGATTACATCTGTACTGGTACTGGTTTGATGACTTATCGATTAGTTATTTTATGACTGTTTTAAATGAGGTGGCAACGAGGTTTACATACGGTTCTTACTCAGAAGTTCAAGGACAAGCAGTAACAAGGTTTAATATATTGTGTTCACTGTTGAGTTAAGGGACAAGCAGTAACAAGGTGTAATATACTGTGTTCACTGTTGAGTTAAGGGACAAGCAGTAACAAAGTTTAATATACTGTGTTCACTGTTGAGTTAAGGGACAAGCATTAACTAGTTATTGTGTATGGTCCATTCTCTAAAATTCAGGAACAAGCAATAATGTGGTCTTACATACCGTGCTCACTGTGGAGTTCACGGAAAGCAACAACGAGATTTTATATACGGTGTTTTGTGTGGATTTCAGGAACAAGCGATAACAAGGTCTCATATTAGAAAACGCCTCGATGATCTCGTTGTAGCGTGCTTGAGTCGAGTGCGGGTATTTGTGGGTTCAATCCAAGACGGAGTCAAACCAAAGACTTGAATATGTGTATGTGTTGCTAAGCTAAAAATGCTGCATTCAGGAGGAATGGCAAAGACTGGCCTGTTCGTAGTCCAGGTAGGTTAACATGTCTTCCTGGAGACTGTTACCCAGTGAAATTGTACGTTAAAAATTAGACCAGGGTTCATATACATTATACATCAAAATGTTATCGTTCTGATGTACATGTAATATTTGCCACTGGACGTTTAATGCCGATTTATCATCATTTTATATAAGAACAAGAAGTAACGAGATCTTACATTCAGCGCTTTCTATAGAGTTCAGGGACACGACAGTTAGTTATAACACTATCTGACACACGATTCAATCTGTTTAGTTCAGAAACATGCACTTATGAAGTATGATATACGGCGCTTTTTGTTCTCTTTCTTTTCTTATGAGTTCAATGACATTACCTTGTAGTTTGTATTTGTTGATTCTGTTTTCATACTTACAGCATGTTTTGTTTGATGATAATGTTTCTATGAATTATGTTAACCTAGTATTATATCAAAGTGAGTACTTTAAATTATCAGTCATTAATGGAAATGTGGACATGCAACAAATGTGTTATAAATGTTAGATAAAACTTTTTGTTGTTAACTAGTATTTTAATTGATACATTTTTCTATGAATTACCACTGTAAAGAATCTCTACTAAACCTTTTTATTATGAACTTTTTGAAGAGCTCGTTTAAAGTTATATGTCTCAGCATATTATTAATTACACGCTGATTATTCCATGTGCATTCTTGTTTTGTGTATTTAACAGCTCACAATTTAAGAAAACGTATTGGATATGATTTCTGTGCGCACAATATAGAATATATTTAAAATACAATAAATTCGGCGAAAAAAGATCATTAAATGACCAATTACAAATGCATTTATTTTTTTTCAAAAATTTATATCTTGTTGATACATAAATTTCCGTTTAATTGGAATACAATAATTATAGGGCCATCGACTTCGTTTTGGATCTGTTTTTGCCTATCCCCCCCCCCCCCCCCCCCTCCCAAAAAAAAAAAAAACGCACACACACTTTTCGGCAAAAACATAATAGTTGTTAACTCTCTGACACATTCCCATTTTCCATTCTCAATTTTATTTTTGAAAATAAAAATGAAAATGAAAAGGGACACAGCCTAGCTGCCTAATTGACTATTAGACTCTTTTTTTTTTGCTTGTTACTTTCAGAAAGCCCCCCCCCCCCCCTTTCCACATTCTTTTCAGTCCACTCCTATGCCGCTGAATATATGTAGTTTTTCGTTAATGGTGTTTTATCATAAATCAGGTAGTTGGATTTATCGTTTCTATTGTTTCACATTTTGTCATGTCGGTTCTTTGATAGCTGACTATATGGTATGGGTTCTGGTCATTGTTGAAGGCCGTACTTTGACCAATAGCTGCTTACATCCTCGTCATTTGGACTCTGGTATTTGATATTTGTCTTTTTAACGATCATACTAATTCTTTTATTTTTGTTACAAGTGTTTCAGTACGAAAAGATGAGAGATGACAAATGGACATATAAAATATTTAAAGCATGATATATTTTAAAATATATGAAGGAAATAGTCAAACCGTCTGCAATCATTTCTGCATGGGAAAAACCTATGACTTGACTATATTATAGTAGAAATTGAATTACAAAATAAATTTGTGCAGATCACGTCAACGACAAAGACATTAGCTACAGGAATAAATGGGTTTTTACAAGTAATCATTTTTGAATTTATCATTTTATTTTTCCAGCCTTACACGTCGACGGACTAAAGTCTGACGTTCCATACTTTGAGCCAAGAGAAAACAATGTATCATTCCACACTGGATCAACAGCTACCTTGATGTGTTCCATCATAGGACTCCAGACACGGATCGTAAGTTGTCAGCATAACAACTTTATTTTTTTAACGATATAGTTACATTATCAACTATATATGTTTATAGCTATGATTAGTGGTTTGCGAATGTGTGAGCCCTTATTTTCATGCCATATACTATTTCACTGTTATATCCCACAGAGGTCTGAATTAATCAATTATTTATTTCAAATCTCGATTGAATTCAAATAATAACACTGAAACATCAAAGCATTAGTATACCTCTTTTTCTTCACATCTTCATACTTTTTTCTTTCTTTTAACCCTATTTTAGTTTTTTTCAATGATATATTCGTGTCCGCTGTATTTCGCCGTAATAACTAATATATTTAATACATGTCCTTTTATTCTATATACTAGTGGGCCAATCAGACTTCGCTTTCTTCCTCGACTGTTCTTATTCTATGGTTTTAAATTAGTTTGTGGCTCTGCTGTAAAAGATTTTATTGACGACATCTTAACGTTCATCTTCGTTTTATTAACAGCATGTGTTTTAAAGGTGTGGTTTTGTTTTTAGAAAGCATTTGCGTATGACTACATACAATTTATTTCATGTTCATTAACTGCCGAAAATATCCATAATTTGCAATTGAGATCATTATGGCGAACCTAAATATATTTTGATTTACTATAGGTGGTTTAGTGACTTTGGAAGCAAGGAAACTTGCTAGTTAAATACCAGAAACCAGCTTTTCTTAATTTGAAATCGGTCAAAAATAATTTCTTGTTAGTGCATTACTAGGATTTAAATAAAAAAAAATGCACTAGGATTTAAATAAAAAAAACAAAGTGCACATGCGAGAAAATTTAGAGTAGACCAGTTGTGCACAATAACTTGGTAGTAGATGGTTAAGAGCTTCAAAGGATATTTGTTGGATTGTTTTGTAAATTTTGGGGAAAGTTTTGAGTTTTATCCATTAAGAAAGCAACATTATACCCCTGATTCTTATTACATTTACACAAACGTTAATTATTTTCAAGGTTATAAAACAAGCTATACAATTTTACATGAAAATATTTAAAGACAACATTTTGATATTTGGATTAGATTTAATTAATTTTTCCAGAATCTCGGACTGACTTGGACTTGATTAATGACATATAAAGTGATGCAATCGATCTATTGGAATGCAAATAATTTAAGGCAAACTTTTAATGATATCATCAAACATATAAAACTACAGTAACGATGAAGATCAACCTGCAGTGTATTTAATTGTTTATATAATGTTTAATTCAATGAAAGTTATCGTGTATCATTACAGATCATCAAATAATTGTAATTTTTGGAAATGTTTCCGTCGATTAATCGGTAATAAAAATATAATGAAATGAACGAAAAATTATTCAAACCGAGAATCGGAAATGGTTTTATTGGATTTTCCAGTTGTGCTGTAATAGTCTTATTCAAACATTGTAATTGAATAAAATGTCTTGATCTATTTCTGAATAACTTTAAGTACTATTATAACATCGAGGTGAAAAGAAATTAAGGGTTGGATCAAGTATTTAATCTGCACTGTTTTACTTACTCTTCCTGTGTCAAGAATACACCACTTCGTTAATTTGTAACGTAGGATTAACCGAAACAAATGATTTCATTAGCCTTTTGCTGTTTAACATATTCTATATTTAGCACACATGTTTAGTAATCCAAACAAAGAATATTAGAAAACGTTATCATAATATTGCCAAAAATTTTCCACGTATTAAAAAAAATCAAATAATTGCCATTCTTACCAACTTTTCTGACTGGAATAATGTTTTGTTACTTCTGTACCTAAGTAAGCGGGTTAGTAAAAAGTGTGCACCACATTTTTGAGGTTATTTCGAATAGACAGAAAAAATATTACAGTCATTCCATATAATTTAATTCTAAATTTCATGTTTAGGAGTAAATCATGAACAAACGTTGATGACGTCACTGAATCAAGTTATCTCATTAAATCAGATTTTACATTTACATACAATGTTTATATGATTTGACATATGCTTTTCAGACTTATATTTCATATTCTAGGATTTAACTACAATTAATTGACCGAATGACGTTGAATACAAAAACTCAATTTCTTTAGAAATATGAAGTCAAATATTTCAAACTTTATGTCTGACTAAAATATGATACGGGTAAATAATTATTTTATGGATTCTTTTATTTTATACGTAGGTTGTTTGGAGGCGAATGTCAGAACCTAGCCCTCTCACTATAGGAGATTTTGTTTATAGTCAAGATAGTAGGATTTCAATACGAAGGGTAGTGAAGCAAAATGAATGGAATTTAGTCATTAAAGATGTGCGACCAGATGATGCAGGAGTATACGAATGTGCAGTTAGTTCTCGAGAGAAATATAAAAGACTTGTTTTACTTCGAATAACTGGTAAATATAGGGTAGTCATTCTAATTTGCAAATAGTAGATAAAACATGTTCAAAATGTCGGCATTCACCTCAAAAGCTAACCAAACCTTTAAACAGACTTATTCGGAAAGGATATAGTTACGATACTGTTGTCAGGTCATTAAGGATTGCATATTTTGGTATTAATATTTATTCACTCATATGGTCTTTGCATCGGAAATAAACACATTTATTCTAAAACCAGTTGTTGGCATGATACGGGTTATGTTCTCATATATTTTATGATGGTATGATACTAAACACCTAACGGGAGGGATTGTACTTGATTGTCATATGATGAAGACATAATCTTTCAATCAGTTTAATTGAGGTCTGGAGCTGGCATGTCAGTAACTGCTAGTAGTCCTTTGTTAATCTATGTATCATTGTCATTTTGCTTAGTTTCTTTTGTTACCTATTCTTACATCGGGCTCGGACTTCTTTTAAACTGAGTTTTACTGTGCGTATTGCTATGTGTTTCTTAATTCTACATTGGCCAGAGGTATAGGGGAAGGTTTGAGATCTCACAAAACATGTTTAACCCGGCCGCATTTTTGCGCCTGTCCCAAGTCAGGAGCCTCTGGCCTTTGTTAGTCTTGTATGTTTTTTAATCTTAGTTAATTTATATGTTTTGGAGTTTAGTGTAACGTCCATTTTCGCTGAACTAGTACACAATTTTATTTAGGGGCCAGCTGAGGACCACCTCCGGGTGCGAGATTTTCTCGCTACGTTGAAGACCCATTGGTGGCCTTCGGCTGTTGTCTGCTCTTTGGTCGGGTTGTTGTCTCTTTGACACATTCCCCATTTCCATTCTCAATTTTATCATACTTTTTTAATTTTGAGAAAACCCACACTCAAAGTGTACATGTGCTGTAATTCACAAGGAAACTGAAACTATCACTTTGACTGTAACAATGTCTGGAGATAAGAAGATACCACAGTGAAAATTAAAACTTGTTATTTGACGAAAAACAGACAACATCACGACCAAAGAGTTTTAAAAACTAGAGGCTCTAAAGAGCCTGTGTCGCTCACCTTGGTCTATGTGCATATTAAACAATGGACACAGATGGATTCATGACAAAATTGTGTTTTGGTGATGGTGATGTGTTTGTAGATCTTACTTTACTGAACATTCTTGCTCCTTACTATTATCTCTATCTATAATGAACTTGGCCCAGTAGTTACAGTGGAAAATATTTTGTAAAAATTTACAAAAATTTACAAAATTTATGAAAATTGTAAAAAATTGACTATAAAGGGCAATAACTCCTTAAGGGGTCAATTGACAATTTTGGTCATGTTGACTTATTTGTAGATCTAACTTTGCTGTACATTATTGCTGTTTACAGTTTATCTCTATCTATAATAATATTCAAGATAATAACCAAAAGCTGCAAAATTTTCTTAAAATTACCAATTCAGGGGCAGCAACCCAACAACATGTTGCCTGATTGGTCTGAAAATTTCAGGGCAGATAGATCTTGACCTAATGAACAATTGTATACCATCAGATTTGCTCTTAATGCTTTGGTTTCAGAGATATGAGCTAAAAACTGAATTTTACCCTATGTATTATTTTTTTGCCATGTCGGCCATCTTGGTTTGCGGGCAGGGTCATCGGACACATTTTTTAAACTAGATACCCTAATGATGATTGTGGACAATTTTGGTTAAATTTGTCTTAGTAGTTTCAGAGGAGAAGATTTTTGTAAAAGATTACAAAAATTTACGAAAAATGGTTACAAATTGACTATAAAGGGCAATAACTCCTTAAGGGGTCAACTGACCATTTTGGTCAAGTTGACTTATTTGTAGATCATACTTTGGTGAACATTACTGCTGTTTACAGTTTATCTCTATCTATAATAATATTCAAGATAATAACCAAAAACGGCAAAATTTCCTTAAAATTACCAATTCAGGGGCAGCAACCCAACAACGGGTTGTCCGATTCATCTGAAAATTTCAGGGCAGATAGATCTTGACCGATAAACAATTTTACCCCATGTCAGATTTGCTCTAAATGCTTTGGTTTCAGAGATATAAGCCAAAATCTACATTTTACCCCTATGTTCTATTTTTAGCCATGGCGGCCATCTTGGTTGGTTGGCGGGGTCATCGGACACATTTTTTAAACTAGATACCCCAATGATGATTGTGGCCAAGTTTGGTCAAATTTGGCCTAGTAGTTTCAGAGGAGAAGATTTTTGTAAAAGTTTACGGACGACGGACGACGGACGCAGGACGACGGACGACGGACGCAAAGTGATGAGAAAAGCTCACTTGACCTTTCAGGTCAGGTGAGCTAAAAACTACACAGAAAAACTTATTAAGTTTGAGCAACAAGTTAAAATTCAAGTTAAAATTCTTTATTGAAAACTCTCAGACATATACAGTGTTAATTACAAAAGAAGAATTCAGTACATATTCAAATGGAAAAGGCAAATAATATAAGTAATTTATATTATTAAATTAACTATAAATATATGTTTTATCATTATTAATACAACTATAAGTTAACAGTTTTTCTAATTTCCTCAAAAATATAGCTATATGTATATTATTTAAGACCTACATATTAGATAATGAAAATAGTCCATGCAATTTTTATACTGATGTTTGGGATGTATATTATGTTGGAAAAAAGTAAAATAACAAAATACCGAACTCCGAGGAAAATTCTAAACGGAAAGTCCCTAAGCAAATGGCAAAATCAAAACCTCAAACACATCAAACGAATGGATAACAACTGTCATATACCTAACTTGGAACAGGCATTTTCTTATGTAGAAAATGGTGGATTAAACCTGGTTTTACAGCTAGCTAAACCTCTCACTTGTATGACAGTCGCATAAAATTCCATTAAATTGACAACGATGTGTGAACAAAACAAACATACATAATAGGTAAAAACGTCAAAAATAGAATGTATTGTATTCTAAGACATTTTACTTTAATATTTTAAAACAACAATGAAGTGGTATTCATTGCCTACTTCAACGAAGTTACACAAGTGACAAATCCTATGTTACGTTGATGTGCCGGCCAATCTACCTGTTACGAAAGGAAATTTAATATCTTATAACCCTATAGTTTTCACATAGTAAAGGCTATCAACTTATTTGGTATCATCAGATATATTTCAAGCCCAAATTCTTTCTTTACGCAGAGATTAAATTAACCTCTAGTAGATTTATCCATATCACTATACTATTTATGATAGAAAGTATCCAACAACTTTGTTTTACTTAAGTATTATTATTTAATATCTACTAACCATTCCATATACATGATTGATTGATTGGCGATTGCTTTACACCGAATCAGCACAAAAAGGCTATATTGCGGCGACATTCCATATACAAGATAAAGATATATTATCGCTCTTTGCTGTATTTTTCCTTTGATCTTTTTCTATTATAATTTTTCAAATCATGCTACTCGCTTGAGATAGAACATTATCGCTAGAAGCTAAGGGCGCTTGACGTTGTCAATGTAAACATTAACGACGTGATAGGCAGAATGACGATAAACAGATTATCAATGGTCTTTCAAACTCGAGGATGTTTCTCTGCTACATCTCATCTCAACTGTCGCCTTTCGATGAGATTGTAGCTGAGAAACACATTCTCGATTGAAATACCATCGATAATCTATGCGTATCATGTAATATATACAATAGTTAATACAATATAATTGATAACTTGCTTTGGTTTTGTAGTAATTCCTTCAAAAAGTTTAATATTCTCAGTTTCACCTGAATGTGCTGCAAATTTCTCCCACTTGTTTCTCAAACCATATATTGTGGTGTATTAGTATGGATACCCAGAATCTTTTTAACTTTACCAACATCCTTCATATTTTTAATCTCAAAACTGCAGAGGAATAAAGCAAAATAGGTGACACTAGATACAAATGATTTTAAATGAAGGTTGACGGTTGTGAGCACGAACCCCACCAAAAACCGGCGTTGCTCTGGAAGGGTAAGACGATGATGCTTCACTGGCGGTAACCGTTGTGGTTTTAATGGCTGGTAAAAAGTCTGTGGGTTCATTACGAGGAAAAGAGGACGAGATTATGAATAATGAATTTGGTTTAAAGCGTCTGTTTAACTTGTATTATTGGAAAGAAGCTATCTGATATACTTTAATAAATATAAAAGCAAACACTCTCTTCAAGAATAAAACATTACACAACTGATATTTGTATTGATTTGTCATTGTATAAATTTATCATTTCTCTTGTGACAGGAACATACAGAAATTTATCTAGGACAAGTTATACTTATGAAAACGGTAATATTTTTACAATACTCGTTAATCTTTTTTTTTAATTACTGTAATACAAATGTGTACTAAAGACTTTTTATAACGCAACCCTTCATATAACTCATCAAAGATACCAAGCTTATAATTTTGTACGTCAGACGCGCGTTTCTTCTACAAAAGACTCATTAGTGACGCTCAAACAAAAAGAAATGTTATAAAGTACGAAGTTGAAAAGCATTCTGGACCCAAAATTCCGATAGTTTTGTCAAATACTGTTTAGGTAATCTATTCTTGGGGTAGAAAACATCCAGCAGTGGCATCGACCCACGTACGTTCTATGGTTCCAGATGTTTGAAGGTTGACATCTTTTTGAATAATAATAAAACAGCAAAATAAATTGCGAAGTAATTTGATATTGACTCAAATAATATTTCCCTAATTTTGTTCTATATGAATTGAATTATAAAACAAAATTATCCTTTAAAGCATAGTTTTCATGATATTGCAACCCATTCTCCCATGATGTAAAACAAAAAATAACTCAAATTATAAATGCTTATGCAATTTGGGCAAGTCTTCGGACTGTATTAAAGCCTGTTTTTGCGGTCTTATATCTTAAGATACAAGTCGTCTGATCTGTAATTTTACTGATTGTGTTTTATTTCCGAATATTGATTTTTTTTAGTGAATGTGAATTGGCATGGCGGTTGATGCATGCATTGCAGGAAACACTTACCCTGTTGAATCACCCGGGCTCTTGTTCATAATGTTTTATTCAGTGCTCGGAGTACACAATGTGCACTCGAAAAAACAAATCCAGTGAAAAGATTGTTTAAATTTTGAGTCTGAGTACGATAAGTATACTCGAAAGTGTCATGAATATCGATAAACTAATGTCGCCTTAATTGAATGCATTTATTCGTCATTTATGCAATTAAAAACAATTTGGACTCCTCTTAATGAAAATTAAATTTTTTTTCCATATGTCAAATATGGTCACACTAATGAATTTATACATAGATTTTCTTATCGACAATTAAACGAAGATTTCCACACGATTATAAGTTACAAATGATTGCCAAATAAGTAAAGTTTGCAAGGGAAGGATGCCTATAAGTCCATAAGATATTGCGTTCTTATACTTGAATCAAATATCGATGAAGAAAAACAATACCATTAACGGTATCATTTTTATAGCACCAGATGCACATTTTGACAGTTAATGTCTATCCAGTAATGCGCGAGGCCTGTATATTTGAAAGTCCAAAACCTAAAACAAACGTTAAAAAGCTAATAAAACCAAAAAGAACCAAACGTAAAGCCAAACCTAGACAAGGAATCAGAGCTATTCATGAGGGAGATACATTCCTTTCAGTTACCATTATATTGTATACGTGTGTGGGAGGTTTTTTCCAAAGCAGTTAAACTTGGGATTATTCCAATTGTTTGTAACCATATTTAGTTAGTAGTTTACCGTAGTACAACACTTCTTTGGAATGTTTGAGGTTTGATATTGTCTTGTTCTATTGCACATGTAATTGAATTAAAGTTAATTTTCGGTTAATATATCATCTTTTTGACCATTGAATTAAAATTTAAAAAGCTTTACACAAGAAAGCAAAGTATACTTTTAGATTTTTGAAAGATTTGTAAGCTAAGGGCAAATAATAATTATATCAACATTGAGGGTTTTTATATGTGTTCAATCAAACATATTCAAATGATATATCAATATCAACATACACGTCATTAAAATGTATATAATTTACACTTTAACGGTTTAGCACATAATATTCAATTGAAGCTGTTGATATACCAAATGTAGTAACCAAGAAGAAAGATATATGTCCAAGTGAATATTTCATAAAAAAAAACAAACACATGAAGGCTTTGACTAAACTCTTTGAGCATCAGATATTATCGTCCCTTAATACGTGTCTTGAGTAAAAGGATTTTGTGTTTAAAGATAGTTGTGAAAGTAAGGTTTTGTATTCTTAATATATTTAATTGCAGATATACTATTGTCAAAACCACGTAAGTATAGTATGACACATTTTAGCCGTCTTACTCTTAATTGTTAGATTTCGTCTCTGATATAACAGTTATTTTTATACTTAATATCTTTCAATTACCAAGATAATTTAATCTAGACAGCGTATTGATAATTATACATAATGCGACTCATCAACAGATGATTTTGTGTCATAAGCAATTGACAAGTACCACCACAAAAAGAAGGGAATGTTTACCTTACCGAAACAAACAAGTTCATCATCGGTTCTTCGATAGGTGATTGTTACTCAATCTCAATTTTATGTGTGTTGTTTTGTGAACTGCTTTATGTCATTTTAACGATCGTGTTGTCTGTCTTACTTCGATTTATTGATTTTGCATTGCCCCATTTGTATCTCTTTACTTTATCTATACACATATTATATACAACAAACGCGTTCTTTGATTATTGTACTTTTGTGTCCTTGTATTTTGATTTCATAAACAATTTAGTTGAGTCTTAAATATAACTTAATGGTTCGACAATGCAAAGTTGTTTTTCAATTTAATAGCAAACAATTTAATAATTATAAAGGTGAATTATTTCACACCTTGACAAATACTGTTCATGTTTATCAATATTTAAATCAGTGCGAGCGGACAAAACTGGACAAATAGTAATCAATTGCACTGCTTCGTTTGCTTCGCGGACAACGTCTTAATATTTATACAACCTTGGCTTTAAAATGATATGTTTTGAGCATTAGTGTTGAAGATAAATCTAAAAGAGCGCTTCGGACTAAAATAATTATAAATTGTTATTTTAACTTATTTAGCATTATAAATGTATTAAAAGAGTTATCAGTTTTTAGAAGAGAAACGATATTTGTTACTCAAATGCCAGAAAAAAATGCGCTTGTTGAAAATCCTCACTTGTGATTTCTTTTCTAAAATTGTACAACAAAATAATGTTTAATGTTCAGGAAATTGGATTTTTTAACAGTTAGACGAGATGTATATATCAATGCGGTATGTCTGGTCAGTTATTAGCTGATATGACTCGTCTTCGTATTTTTTTAACAGAATGTACATGGCGGGTGTGACTAGTGGAGAAGCAACTGCTTACCCTTTCAGATCACGTGCGTTCACATCTGGTTTTTGTTGGGTTCGTGTTTCTCAATCTTGAGGGGTTTCTTTTTTGTAGTATTTTGTGGACATTTGTTTGTGTTTTAGTGGTTTTGTTTGTTTGTGTTTTAGGGGTTTGTTGGGTGTTGTTTTTTTTTTGCCATGGAACTGTCTGTTTTGTTCGGGTTTTCTTCCCTCTCAATTTTATAATGCTTTAATTGTCCCCTTGGTATATCCTGTCGTTTTAACTGGAGATTTATATTGAGGAATTTCTGAATTAAAAAATTCAAATTATCCTTTGATATTTGTCTTTTAAACCAACGAATTTACTTACGGACAATTACTGTATTTCTTTTTCTTACTAATTCATCAATTGAAATACACATAATTGAATACAAATGTGACTGTCAAAAAATAAGTTAAAAGTACAGTCAAAATACCTAACTTTCCAAAAATCTAGTAATGATTACTTCCAAAAATGTGTGAATATATCAAACATGCAAGGATTTCTTGAGCTGGTTGCTAATTCTTTTTTTCTTTTTAGGGGTTAACGTATCAGGAAATGACTTTGTGAGCAAAGGTCAAACTATTTTACTTACATGTAATGCTACTGGTGAAGATCATGCACCAGACAGAGTTGACTGGTTTATCAATGGACTTAAAGTTGATAAGAAAAATATGCCCCGTGTACGGGTGTATAATGAAGTTGACATTTATAGAAGAACGTTACTGAGTAAACTAGAAATAAGACGTTCATTAATGAGTGATACGGGGGTATATATATGTAGAGGGCCAGATGAAAAGACATCCAAAATAACAATTCATATCTTAGATGGTAAGTGCATGTATGACAATGATTGAATTATGTTACTAGGCCACACTAACCAGATATCTGGTGTACAATAGTTACCGAACTTATAGACTAACAATAATTGAAGTAGTCTACAAACTTTAAAAAAACTATAAAGGGGTTTAGTCGTCAGTTTTTAACAATATTAACACGAAGTATAGTTTTCAAATATTTACAACACTGACAGGAGATAAGTCTTCAATAATAAAAAGTTTTAATCAATGCATCACTGGTAAATTATTAAGTCAGGGATTTCGTTACATAAATTGCTTAAAACTTTTTCTAAGTTCTTTCATAAATACAAAGATTTGATTAGTAAATTTGGCTGTACCTGTAGAAAACTTATTAAAAACGGTATTTCATATCCTACATTTTACGGTAATATTGTACTAAAAGCGCGGGAGTCACCAATGTTGTAATTAGATCTTTGAATATAGTTTACATTGTCACAAATATCGATTTTGTCATCAGCAGATTAAAACATAACTAAATTTGTATTCTTTTCAAACGGTTTTTTGGGATGTATAAATATACATCCACGTTCATTTTCTATATAGAGATTACTCCATATATATATTACATTATACATATTTATTAAATTTTATACAGGTTAACTCCTAACTATCCTACTGCCTATCGATACTTTTATTTTGACATTGCACAAGTCATGTCTTCTTTGACTGTCCATGACGTTAAAACACTAAATCCCTGGGATGTTTTTTAGTTGATTTTAGTCTCTGATGCATGATTTTTTATTATTAATTGTTTTTGGCTTTTAACTAGCTTTCAGTAACTGCGAGTACTCTCAAATCGTACTTTCGTGTTAATTTGACCTGTTGATACAATTTGTAATGTATTTTTGTTTTTTAATGTTTACTTATTCAGTGTTATATCTACTCTCACTATTTTTTATATATACCACTTTTGATAAGTGTTTAGTATGACGATAAATTTTCACTTTTGTTCTCGTACTAGGAACAACAAAATTATTTCCGTACTCCATGTATACCTTACAACAAAATTATTTTTATTTACCTGTGTACGTTATTTTATTTGGCGGCATTTTGTCCATGGTTATGGTTGTCTTTCTGATATTGTTAAACATCTAACCTCCTTGTTTTATTAATTTTGTATTTAGATTGTGTCATAGATCAAATTTATTCATTCAGTGTATGTTCACTTGTTTTTGTTAATATGTCTTTTGATTGAGTTAAGCCATTTCAATTGATATTGTATAGTGCGTCTTTCTATATTGTGATGTTAAACTATTGTTTCAGATAGGGTGAAGGTTGGCACCTATTAAAACGTTTAAATCCGTTGCATTTGTTTGCACCTGTCCTAAGTCAGGAACCTGATGTTCAGTGGTTGTCGTTCGTTGATGTGGTTCATAAGTGTTTCTCGTTTTTTATATAGATTATACCGTTGTTTTTCCTGTTTGAATGGTTTGACACTAGTCATTTTTGGGGCCCTTTATAGCTTGCTGTTCAGTGTGAGCCAAGGCTCCTTGTTGAAGGCCGTACATTGACCTATAATGGTTTACTTATACCAATTGTGACTTAGATAAAGAGTTGTCTTATTGGCACTCATACCACATCTTCTTATATCTAATTAAAGAAATTTCAGTCTTCATTAATTAAAAGCATTTACGTAAAGTTTACTTTTAAAAAAAATAACAATACTTACATTTGAGTATGACTCTAATTATTAACAAAAGCTACAGAAATTTTAGTTTTTAATAATTAAAATGCAAGATGTTAATTGTTCAATAATTAGCCCCACTACCGGCGATGTAGTCTTCAAAATAAGCTCTACTAAGAGACGATTCAGTCTTCAATATCTAGTCAAACTAACATGTGATTTAGTCTTCAATAATTAGCAGGCGATCCAATAATTTTTTAAACTAATAAGTGATTCAGTCTTCAATAATTAAGGGCAGCATATTATATTTGTGGTAACATTATAATTAGTTATAACTAAGAAAAACTACAGAAATGGACACCACATAAGTTTATGGTCACAAATCATGAGTTGGTTGACCGATACGATGTGTCGGCCTCTTAACTCAATCTGGCGATCTTAGATGTTTAGATACCAGTAAAGTCGTCTGTAGTTTTACCGATTGTGTCCTATCCCCGATTGTGAACGTTTTACTGAGTATGAATTCTCATGGCGGGTGATGCATGCATAACAGGGAATGTTATCCCGGTCTCGCTCCTTTTGGAATTGATCCGATTTACTCAGTTTTTGTTTGTTACCTTCATTTTTTTTTTTTTTTTTTCTAATCGAGTAACGAGATTTTAACATCGGTAAACTACTGTTGTCTTAATATATTGTACGTCAGATGCATAGTAAGCCATTCTACTAAAATCTATAAATCATATTTACCAGTGATATATTTCTCAAGTTTAAGAAAAAACACTATTTAAACATCTTCTAAATACAAATGTACGTGGAATCATTGTTCCTTGCAAAATTTTATAAGACTTATTTACTTGTAAGTTCGGCTATCTCCTGGCACGGCATTAAGCCATTCTACAAAATTTATTAATGAAATTAACAAATGGTATTTTTCGTGTATTAAACATCTTTTAAACACAATGGAAGTACTATGGATCATTGATCTTTGCAAACACGTCACCACTCGTTTTTACATTCTTATTATGGGATCTTCTGCACTCTATAATAGCACAGTATTAAGTTGTGTTAGACCATTTTAATAACAACCTGCCTTATTATCATTCGGAGTAGTATTATCATGCAAATCATAATCATACTCTGTACCCCTATTTTTGACATTTTTACCTATTGTGTCTGTTTGTTTTGTTCACGCATCGTTGTCAATATAATGGAATTTGATGCGACTGTCATACAAGTGAGAGGTTTAGCTAGCTATAAAACTAGGTTCAATCCACCATTTTCTACATAAGAAAATGCCTGTACCAAGTCAGGAATATGACAGTTGTTATCCATTCGTTTGATGTGTTTGTTTTTTTGATTTTGCCATTTGATCGGGGACTTTCCTTTTTGAATTTTCCTCGGAGTTCAGTATTTTTGTGATTTTACTTTTTAAAGCTCAATAAGAATAATGTCAAATACATTTCAGCGTTTAAAAGATCACTGTCTACTGTTTGTGAACAATATCACCCATCAGGTGCTTGTACCTGAATAAAGGCAACAGTAGTATACCGCTGTTCGAAATTCATAAATCGATTGAGAAAAAACAAATCCGGGTTACAAACTAAAACTGAGGGAAACACATCAAATATAAGAGGAGAACAAAGACACAACAGAAACACTAAAATGCAACACACACAAAAACGAACTATAAGATAACAATAGCCATTTTCCTGACTTGGTACAGGACATTTTAAGAAAAAATGGTGGGTTGAACCTGGTTTTGTTGCTAGCAAAACCTCCCGCTTTAATGGCAATGTTAAATATAACACTAAAAATGACAACATTACATGACAAAACTACAATACAAATAAATGGAAGAACATACAGGACAGAGAAACACACAAATAAACAATACAATAAAACATTACGACAAGCTAATAGTTATCAAAGGTGCCAGGTCTAAAGATGGAGAGCATTGATGACCCACAATTCCAAAAAGTTGTGCCAAAAACGGCTAGGTTATCTGCCTGGGATAAGAAAATATTTAGTATTTAGAATAATTCATATTTTTGCAAATAGTAAATTTATAAAATATAAAAATGACCATATAATTGATATAAATGTCAACACCGAAGTGGTGACTAACTACAGAATAAAAACGAATACCAACAACCTAGATCAGCACATAAAACAGCACAGCCGAACAACGCATTGTATGTCAGCCGAATAGATCGATGCACAAAAGTGACGTCACAGGTAAATTTCTAAAAATTTCCAAAAAATAGGATAGAGTTCAAGATTAGGTTTGTAACACTGATATTATATGTATTTAATAACAATGAAATTACAAATCTTATTAATATAAAATTGTGTTAGTAATTAGATAAGTAATTGTATTATCTACTAGCTATGTCGGTATTTCTTCTAAATCAAACTGAAAACCTAATACATAGTATAAGTTCAGTTGACCCAAACTAAAATCTTATAAATGAACTGGGTGATAAACTATCTTTACACTCACACACGAATAGAACAGAAAAAAGTAAGAATTACAACTACAAACGTTAAGACATTTGACAATAACAAATATAACATCAAAACTAAATACAAGAATTTTTGATAGAAAAATACCGTGACACGTCTTATAGCAATGCGAATTCACACTCAGCAAAACAGTCACAATCGGGAATAGGTCACGTACTTAAAAGATCAGACGACGTAATGGCAAACCACAATCTAAGACGTGTTAAAAATGTCCTTAGTTAGTTTGGACAAAGACGCATCGTATGGATCAACCAATTCGTCATGGTGTCAATAAAATTTACGGAGTGTTATTTTTAATCTTTCCTCCTCATAACTTTGTTGGAGCAGTTTCTGCGTAAGGAGCACACTCCTGTATATGAAGTCCGTATAGTGTGAACATGCACGAGCATAACGTATCAACTGAGGTATGTAAACACCATAGGAAGGGGCAGAGGGTATGTTACTGCTGAGAAATGGGAAATTGATAATTGGGAAGTTGAAATCGTCCCGTTTGTCATAGATTTTAGTGTGAAGTCGTCCATCTGTGTCAAAACTACTTCAAGAAAACCACACCTTCTGTTTCCAATACTATAGCATTTCGTTCGCTGAAACATTAAGTCTGCCCAGTCACGAAAATCAGAAACCATTGATTAAAACGACACCGAAACATCTTTAGTTATGCAATATCCACCTGTCAGCTGTTACATTCAAAATCTTATAACGCAGCATATTATATTATATAGTATTTTGCTATAACAAGAAGTTTACTATATTCTGAATATGTTAGGTTGTAAAAAATTCTGTCTTCTTTCAACTAACTTTGGTTTTGACTGAAATTTAACAATTAAATTTCCAACAAGTGACTTTTTACTGTTTCGTTTATAAGATTAATATCTAGTTGAAATTGAAATTGTATGTTATATATTTCTGAAATTACTCTTCAGTATATTAAAACATTATTTATTAAATAATTGAGAAACATTTGAATTTCTTTTTACACACTCGTTTTACCGGAAACTGAAATAGAAAACATACTAATACGGTTTGGATAAACATAAGAAAACAGATATAGGACATTATATGAAATAGGAGTCCGGAGATTGAAATCATGTAGACGACATTTGAAAAATAACAATACGTCATTGAAAATCAAAATTCAACAAAGCAATAATTGAGTTCAACATGTGATTCGCATGAGAAACGGAAGATACAAAAGGGATATTCAAACTGATAAGTCGATGAAAAACTGATGACGCCATGGAAAAAGTAATAAAGTACCAAACAACAGTACATCAGACACAATATAGACAAGGCAACATGAACCCAACCAAAAACTGGGGTGATATCAGGTTCTCCGTCTAGTTCTAAATCTAACAAGACCAGACTACTAATAGTAGTAGTGGTGTTAGTAGTAGTAGTGTTAGTAGTAGAAGTAGTAGTGGTAGCAGTAGTAGTAGTAGTGCGGATAAAAAAAATCAAACATATCTATTTGATGTTTTATCGTTTGAAATATTTAATTATTTGTTGTTACAATTAGTATTAATTTCATAATGATATTCTCTTGAAGAATTAGATTTCTTCAGATGAGTTCCTGTTTCAAACAAATCCACTTTGCCCTAAAAATGGCCAGCCCTAACATTTATCTCAATATGAATTCAGTTCAACGGCCTAAATTTTGAAAAGAAAATCGAATAAATCACAGTAATGGGTGATGAAAATATGAGTCACTTCTTTCAGGAAATAAATTAAGTTTCTGAAATAGCCAGCATTAATTAATTTCCTTTGCTATAGTTAACTATCTATATAATGCATTTCTAGTTTTCTTACTATCCCTGACATAAACATTTTATGTATTTTTTGTAACCTTATATATATATTTATTTATTTATTCAATTACATTTTCAAATATTTATGTATCCACGTATCTACTTCATTAACAACTCTATTATTTCTGTGGTTTTTTTTTTATGTGAACCTACTAGTATTTATTGTGTTTTGTGTTTATTTTCATTACTGATTTCGTTTTTATTTGTTATTTGTTCATAGATTAATATTATTGTTATTCATTCTAGTTGTGTGCAGTTGTGCGTTTATGTATAATATCTACAAGGAAATGAGAATTTGTATAATGTACAAGAAGTGTCTTTTATCTTTTATTATGTTTCAGAAGAAAAGTCAATTATAGATAAACGTGGTGAGTAATTTGATAACTTTATTCACAGTCGTTTTAATTTTTTATGCTACATCTGGTAAAATCATTGACAAAGAAATAAATATTACTGTTTTATATGTAAACGTTTATATGACAACATTTCGATTTAAGATCATATTTCACTTTATGAACGAAAATTTCATTCGATGTATTAAATGTAAAGTGAAAACAGAACGACGTAGCTTAATAAGATCAGAACGAAATTTAAGTAAAAACATTAAAGGAGAGGCGAAAGATACCAAAGGGACATTCAAACTTATTAGTCGAAAATAAACTGACAACGCCATGGCTAAAAAGGACCAACAGACAAACAATAGTACACAATATACAACATAAAAAACTAAAGACTGAGCAACACGAACCCCACCAAAACTGGGGGTGATCTCAGGTGCTCCGGAAGGGTAAGCAGATCCTGTTCCACATGTGGCATCCGTCGTGTTGCTCATGTTAGTACAAACCCGGTAATAAGTCTAATTCGGTAGGTCACATTCGGGGAAAGTGGGACGGAATTGTAGTTACGCTATCATCTGTGAAACGGACATTCCATAACGGTCATCTAAATCTAAAGAAAGTTTAATCATATTGTATCAAATATCAGAAGACAAAACATACGATGTATATTTCTTTAACAATTGTTTAGGCAGACTATGACTTTTTGTATATGTTATTTCTTTCTGTAATAACATTGAAACATATATTCATGTTCCTTTGCATTATCTTGAATTAATAAACAGTATATATGATTACTGAACTGTGATCCAGTGCTTGCATATAAGAATCAAGACATGTAAAATATTAGGGAACTTATAAAATAATAGATAATTTCAAACTGTAACTTAATACTTGTACAATTGGGGTTTTTTTTATAACAAGCATATCTATTTTAGGACAGAAGAGTTTACTTTTATGTGGATTAATTACCAATCTTTCTGTGTCATTAACTTCCTGATAAATTGATCATTATTCATCATTTTTCTTATTAATTTCTTAATTTTTCATGCTTACAAAGGCGATTTTTTACCATCATCAGAACACGGTATTTATTTTATTGCTTGTTAATGTAGTTCTCATAGAGCAGTTGTCCTGCTGAAATCTTACATTATCATAGAAGCATTTCCGTGTATCGAATTAACGACTTGCAGGTCTGTGGTTGACACATACGTTAGTGTCTTGCTGTGCATGCTATTGTTGACGTTAAATCTAAATTCATGTATTGTATTTGATAAATTACGTGAAGGGAAGATTAAAACTCGACAAGAATATTAATCAGTTCAGTGTGGCAAAACGTAATTCTAAAAGCAAATTTACTACTAAAGCTTTAAATGAAAACGCTTACTTTTTTATAACATATTTATAATTAGTCATTATAAAAATATTGAATTTGAATATATATCACACACACACACACGAAAAAACAAACAGAAAGAGAGGAAGAGTGGTATCCTGTAATCTTTGTTACATACCATGCACATATGTTTATTGTTTGACTGTTTGTCTTTTTCTACATGATTAATATAACAATAAGGAGATAGGATACTGTTGCCAATCGGACAAATATCTATTAATATCAAAGACAAAAGAACAGGGATGTTAAGAACTACAGTAGGACTTACTACAATGAGCAAAATCTATACAATATAGCTAGGTATATAAAACCCCGGGATGGAAAAAGTGAAGCAATTCGAAAAAAAAACAAAAAGCAATATTTAAAGTTTAGTGACGGATTCAGGGGGAGGGCGTAGAGGGCGTATATATTAGATTATTGGAATAAACACCCCTTGCAAAAATCCTGGATCGGGACGTGAAGTTATTATTTTAAATATAATATACTAAATGAAAAACAATAAGTACCATACACTGGACTACGTCTTCCTTGTTTTGGACAAGCACATAAAGAATGCGACAGGGTTGAACATGTTTGTGAGCTCCCGACTCTCCCACTAACCTTGGATAATGGTGTTAAAGTACAACAATAAATCAAACTGGAGAAAGCTGTTGGAAATGAGTTGAACTGCCAATCGGTACTATGCATCAGAATCTAAAAAAATGGCAAAAGATACAAAGTTCCGTTCTAAGAGTTTCAAAACTGAAAGTTAGTTTAAAGCCAAATTCCAACTGATAAATATATAATATTTTCCAGACTAAAATATTTCTCATTACATTTAAAGGATAATGTAACTTCTGTAGCAGTTCAGTGTTTCTGTTGTTCCGTTTTTTATTCCTCTTATAGTTGATGTGTTTCTCTCTGTTTTGGTTTCTGAACCGGATTTATTTTCGCTTAATCGATTTATGACTATTGAACAGCGGTAAACTACTGTTGCCTTTATTTATACAAGATTTATTAAACGAATACGAGTCATAGCTGCATTTGTATTTGCATTTTTATTTCTTTCGTTGAATTGTTTGCCTAATGTTTTGTTTGCTTTTAATTTTTATTGTTTTTTGTTATTTTTAGTTGTTTTGCATTTGTTTAATGCACTTTCATAAATTAAAAGAGTTACGTCTTATTCCACATAAATTAACAAATCTTAACCTTGAATTTATTCCAAAAAACACAACCTTTTGTTTCCATTTTCTTTTGACCTCGAAATCATGCTTTTGCTTTATGTTGGATTCGTTGTTGCTAACGTGTGAACACAATTTTTGGAGTAACACAAAACAAAACTTAACAGTTGTCTTTGTGAGCATTTTTAAGTATTTGAAATTTTGAAATGTTTTTGTCATTCAAAAAAGCCAATCAAGACGATCACTTCATTCAAAAACAAAAATTCTAATCAATTATTGCTATAATGCTATTGAAATGGGCAAGTCATCGAGGACTATAAGGAAATATACATTCAATCAAATTATTTTAAAGCTAAAATATAACATTTCCCACTTGTTCCTTTTCAGTTATTCATTGTTAAGGGAAAACAGCCATTGTGAATCTTTAAACACGAAAAGATATATCATCGTTATACTAAAGAGGTATTTGGAATTGAATGATTCAAGCATATAATGACAACGATAGTCGTCATATTATTTAGTTTATTCGGCTAGTTAAGCAAGTTTTGTACAACGTTTCGGGATTAATTTATTTTTTGACTCCTTTTTAATTTTACATTTGATTTGGCCTTTCAACTTTTTGATTAATGTGCCACTGATGAGTCTTGTGAGGACAAAAAATGCGTCTGGCGCAAGAAAGTGTACGCTTTGTATCCTTTGTAACAATATGTTATGTGATAAGCCCGCGAACATCGTCCCAGATACAATCACAAAAGATGTTATTTTTTATATGAAAAGCACATTGTTTCTTATCTGAATAAGGTTAAAGGTCATATATTTACGATACAACATTAAAACAAAGACATATTAAACCGACAGGAACTAATTAACGGGAAATATCAGGAACAGCACAACCAAAGTTGTTTCTTTCAAATCTACTATCTAAAAATATCAGTATTAAATTTCACATGATATTTTATTACTATTACCTTTTTATTGCAACTTGTTGGTTTTTTGTTTTATTGCATGCATACTAGGAGGTGTGCGGCGTAAATCCTAACATTAAACCACCAAACGACACAAAAAATCTAAAGCATCGATAACCTATGATTTTCAACCACAGACTTGGGTTTTTATAATATGTCAGTCATTAAATTTTTCGGGTCTAAAATATTGTAAATTAATGTAATCTGCAACAAACAAAAATTCCTATATAACAATAAAATATGAAACTTGAACATGTATAAAAAAAGTGAAAATAAGGAGCTGCGGTATGATTGCCAATGAGACAACTATTCACCAGAGACAAATTGATGTAGACGGCAGCAACACTAGGTCACCATACGGCTTTCAACAATTTTCAAATCCCTATTTATAGTAAGCTTATCATAGGCCCGTTATGACCAAATGTGAAATTTTTTGCTCTTCGTTCTATTTTTTTTAGCATTATGACCAAATGTAAAATTTATTGCCCTTCATTTTAGTTTTAGTACAGGTTTGCCATAACGTGGATACATATTTCCTACTGCCATGACATTTAGTGTAAACATACTATAATAGTAAAATAGTCCTATTCCTCATTTGGGTTTTGTGAACGATGCATAAGAACCTTGCTATTTATTTCAATGGACTGCAAAATAATGAGTAATGTGTGTCTCTGCAACATTCTTTTCACATATTTCAACAATTTTCAAACCCCTATCTACAGTAAGGTTATCATAGGTCCGTTATTACCAAATGTGAAATTTATTGCTCTTCATTCTTATTTTTACAGCTTATAGCTGAAGTCCATGTTGTTTTATTTTCTAAGTAAACTGAGTACAGATTTTCAAAACATAGATACATTTTTCCTACTGCCAAGACATTTAGTGTATGCATAATATAATAGTAAAATAGTCCTATTCCTCTTTTAGGTTTTGTGAACGATTCATCAGTACCTTGCTATTTATTTCAATGGACTGCAAACTGCTTAGTAATTTGTGTCTCTGCAACATGGTTTACACATATTTGGTTCATTACGTGAATAGATGTGAAAAATCTAACTTCTACCACTGAAGTGTTCAAAAGAATAAACCACCTGCAATTAAACTGATGCAATGCAATAACCGAAGATGAAAGACACATATCATTATTGACGGAGTGGGTCCGTCGAATACCATTTTTAAACTGCTGCTCAATGATATCGTAGACACACGTGGACAGCACGTCTGAATCGTTATGTTTATTGTCGAATATTGTAATGATCGGAAGTAGTGGAGTTATATTGTTAAATCTTCATTATTGTAAAATTATTATTCATTATTCATGTGTTTTGACATCTGTGTTCATAAAAATACTTTTTACACAATTCATTTGTATTTGTTATTGACTGGTAAGATTATTCTATTCTTAAGGAAAGGATACATGTAAAATGGATGATAGCAGTATTTATTTCCTTAGCCGTATTTTGGCACAACCGGTGCCGGTGTTGTGTTTTATTTATGAACACGAAACACGCGTCTGCGTATACAACTTAAATCCTGATATCTTTGGTGTTGTTTTTTTAAGGTTAACTGCACATACAAATATACTAGAAGATGCCCGCGAAATCGCGGTACAATTGGGCAAGTGTTGAAACAAAGAGTGTCAAGGGTACCAGTGTTTACACATAAAAAGGGGGAGGGGTCCGGACGTCGGGTGCCTGTGTTTAAACATAAAAAGGGGTGAGGATCACTTCGACACGTTCAACGCCCATTTCATGTTTGGACAGTTCTGCACCTTAGTAAAAAGGGTGGATGTCGTTTAATTTAGAAAATTGATGCACTTACAATACAATACAGGATCCTTATAGGCCTAACTGTCCTATTTTTTGAGTGAACCCTTCAGGGGGGTTCACGCTTATATATTGGCGAGTTTTGGATGTGTCTATGGGCCACTAGATATCTCTCCCGGAAGTCGGAATAAAATTCTCGGAACGTTTCGAAAGTTTTCGATCATTTATACAGGACTGAGGTAGTTATCTACGTCTTTGATACGGTCCCTCTATGGCTAGGCTACCACGTGACATTACACCATCAAAGTAAATTGGAAAGTAAACAATAAGGCTAGGTTGCAGTCAATAAATCGTTAAATATATGAACCTTTTTGCCTTTTCACAAAGCATATGTGTTTTTAATAATGTGAATGTTTATAAGCGCTTTGGTGTGAAAGTTTCTAAACAAGTATTATGACAACGCAATTATATTTGTTTTAAAACGTCCCCTGTACACAGTGTGTATCTAGGTCAATTATAACGTGATATTGTGTCATGATAACATGTAAACTAATTATGTCTTAAAATTTAACCACGTGTGTATGTTCATCATAGACTAAGGAGAGAACATTCTGGTTTAAATGTGTATATTAGATCGGAAAACAGATATTATTATCAAAAGTATTCAATTTAATTAATTCAATAGAAATCAAAGAAATATATACAAAATATATACTGTATTTATGTTTCTGTTGAAAATAAATGTATTAAATTGAAGTCAGAATATTTTCAGATTTGCAATTAAGAATTAAGTATTTATATGACAAGATACTCTGCTTTGGTTATTTAAAATATTCATTTGTAAATGAAACATGCATAATAATTAAATCTTAATAAATCCTTGCATCATACAAAAAAAATGTTGATTCTAAACAATAATAATTATATTTCTACGTTAATTATTTCCTACCGTTTTTTTAAGGTTTTATAAGTAATTGTTATTTATTTGTTTGTATTGTAATATATCCACAAAACGGAAAGTAAGATAAATTGATTAAAGAGGGTGGTAAAGGGTTATTTTCGTGCAACGTGATCGCCGTTTTTTATTTCACGTTCAACGTGTTTTTACTTTTTTATTTGACGTCCAGTCGTGCAAGACAGGTGCCTCGTTGAACGTGTTCTGCTTATTTAGTTTTACGTGCATCGTGATTTTCAAAAGCTTATTTTGCGTACTCGGTATTTTTAAAATAAAATTCAAATACTTGGAAGGGATCGTCAAGAAAAAAATGGATTCAATTTTGTTTTTTGATAAAGCGGAAAGGCATTTGATGTTGTTCCTTATCGATTTTGGAGCTTCCAAGATATATGTACTGGTTTGGCCTAACACATTGTTCATTAAGTATTAAGTAACTACATAACACTGACATTTTATTGTCTAAACAAATTTGTAACGGGCCATACATATTTATTTTTGTCGTATTCTTTCGATTTGATTCAGTTTGCGATAAGTTCAAAATCGTTGTACCATATGCTACTATAATCCTCTGTTATAAATATGTTGATGGATTGCTGTATTGCCATATATGTCTCTAGTTCATGATTGTAATGTTAGAAAACATAAAAAAAATAAAAGGACTAATGAGACCTGCATGGTATGAATTACTAGGGAAAGCTGTAGGGTTAGGGATATATTACAATCAACTTGTGCTTCTGTTCGTCAATCCAACAAATATTTCCGTTAGATTTTTCTAAGAAACAACTTTACATAATGACTCGGTATTAAGTTCAAATCTGATCTGTTTTTAACTTGTGAACACTTTTCGGATTGCCGATTCTTTGAATTTTTTGGTAAAATGAAAAGAATGACTTTAAAAAAGGATCAACGCCTTAACAGTGACGAGCTTTAACGTGTTTGTACTTTCCATGATCTGTCAGTTCAAACTTCCTATTTCTGATACTTTTAACCACGAGTCGTGGTAGCTGGTGGCATGGATAACATGACAACGTGTTTATTCTTGTTAATAAAGACAATGAAATAGATCAAGAATACACTTTCGTGTCTGCGGGATATTTGCATTTTAAAAGTTAAGAAGATCGTTATATACTTTTTTAAAAGCCGTAAACCATTCATATTATAAATGTGTATACTAAATCGGGAATATCAAGTAAAACAGAGAGTTTATATATACAAGAAGACAGTGACTCAGTCACAAAAGGTTCACATCAAAGTCTTTATTTTTCGTGCAACGTTTATGACAGAAATTATTTCACGTTCAACGTGAAATTATGTCTTATTTCACGTTTTTTCCATGCAAGCACCCCCCTTTACCACCCTCATTAAATATTTAGATTTTAAACGGTCGTGAATAAAAAAACTTGTGTGTTTTCAATTCAAAAAGATTTTAAATTCTTGCAGCTCACTAAAAAACGTAATAATAATTTACAATAATTATAACAAAATTTAATTAAGTACTATCATGATGTTAATTTTTTTGTACTGTTTTAGTATATATTTATAAGTCTTGGCTTATATTTTGTATAGTAATCTATTCATATAGTGGAATGGTAGAATTTATAAATAGATTTATTCGATAAATAAAATGTCCGTCCGTAAATACTTGACGTTTGTGTTTATTGATACTACATAGAAAATGAAAGGATATGGAGTAAATGTACATGGAACATATTTATATATTAAAAATTTTCGGAAAAAAATACTAACAGGAACGTATGTTTATTATAAAATTTTAATTATATTTTTGTTTGTTTGTTTTAATAGTTTAACCTTATTACATCTACATATTTGTACTATGGTACGGTTTTGAAAATTGTATTCACTGTGTTGCCCAACTATCCTATACGTCTTGATTCATTCACATTATAGATCACATTTCAAACGCACACTATCGGTTTGCGTTCTCAAAAATTCCAATTATACTAATTTCACTCGTGAATGCGCATTTTCGTTTTTCTTATCTAAATTAAGGACACGGCTGTAAGAGATTGACATGTGTCTTTCATGCACGGTCATCATTACTTACGGTATTCTGACCTCTAGCTGTTTCTCTTTTGAATCACAGTCCTATAATAAACTTTTACCTTTTCGAAAAGCTAATGATTGTCTACCCAAGGAAGAGATTCCTTAACTTTGTAATTTATTTGGTCTTTTAACTTTTTTTTCATTCGAGTGTCACTGATGCTTTTTTGTAGACTGGCGTCTGGCGAACATCATTTTAATCCTGGTATCTTTTTATATCTACATACCTTTTTATATAAATTGTGATTTTGAGGGTATGTACAGATATTCATAAAATTTCTGAATTAAGATATTCTTCGGCAAAACCAATTTTCCCTGTAGAATATTTGAATTGATTTAAGTAAAATCAGGAAATCCTTAAACTTTGAGATGTTTTATTAGACCAAAAAAAAGTCTCTTTATAAGATGTCCCAATCAGTTGCATGCCACAGGTTTCATTGCGCATGGACATTGGACTTAAGATTTATCTATACAATTAACATCTACCATGAGTACAGACAGCTTCAATAACGAGTTGAGAACATGAAGGTCCATGCAGGAAGCAAAATATAAAGATATGATAGATAAAATAAATGCATGCAGAATTCCAGATTATAAAGCAAACTGAGTGCATAAATTTATATTGCGATTGGTTTGTGCAATTTGCATAAGTCATCCGGTTTGTAGAAATTGGGATTTGCAAAAGGGTTATCATCGGGAAAATTATGTACATTCCCAAGTACTAAATAAAATAGTCTAGCTTTCAAATGTATATTCAAATAGTAGATGTAAATATACTCTTTCAACTGACTTCTTCTAATCACAGCCGTTCTCTTTCATTACCTTCCTGTGGTTGTTTTGATTATCTAAGTGGATAATTAGAACATGCACTGAAATATAGTGTATAAACTGAGATGGGTATGCGCCATAGACTATGACAGATTATATACGACTGCTGAGGAATACAAGTTGTTATGAATGAATTGAAATAAAAATAATTTTATGGATACTAGTTTTGAGTTCATTAGCATCAATTTGCGGGAAAAGATTACGATCTAAGGCAGACTTTTTGTCACGGTTTTATCCTTTATTTCCAATACCAATGCCATGCTTGCGTAAATGTTTTCCGTTCGTCCATCCGTCCGTTCGTCCGAAATACGTCAATAATCAGAGACTGTTTGACAGAAAGCTTTCGTACAATGTAGGATTATTTTTTGTTACATTTTCTTGTCTGTGCTATATCGTCAGTTTTATTTTACAATTTTAACGGGAGTTATGAGAGTTTGACAACTTTTTTTAATATTGTAACAATTACACCTTGTGAACACAAGACCTCTGGGTCTGTTTTACATAAAAATTCTTATCCTTTCTGCCATCCTGTGTAGTGGACCATATTGTACCGCATTTTCGAATCAACCATTTTAGCAATTATAGGACTTTAACCATTTATTGAGACAATTAAACTTGTGAACGCAACTCCTTGGAGACTTTTTGGCACAAAGCTCTCATACTTGTTTCTATTGTTTGCCATCATGTGTTGTTCGCATTATTGTACCATATTTTTTTTTTACTAGTTTTTCGGGAGTAATT